ATCCTCACGCAGTACTCCCCGCGCCCCGCCCACTCCCTCCTCCCCATCGTCTTTGTCTGGATCTTCATCCCGCTCATCGACCTCGCCATCCCGCCAACTCGCACGCACCCGCGCCTGACCCACGCCGAGCTGCGCCACCTCGAGTCGCGCCTCTCCTTCAAGCTCGCCGTGTACTCATGGTGCCCCGTCCAGCTGGCCATGCTTATCTGGGCCGCCTCACGCGTCTCGCACCCAACCGACGCGCCGGAGGGCCTCCGCCTCCTCGGCCTCGTCTGGTCCACGGCCCTCATCGCCGCGGAGGGCATCAACTGCTCGCACGAGCTTCTGCACCGCCGCTCGCGCCCGGAGCGATTCCTTGCCCATCTCCTGCTCGTCTCGGTCATGTACGGTCATTTCGTCATCGAGCACGCCCGCGGACATCACTTCACCGTCGCCACCCCGCACGACCCCGCCACCATGCGCTTCGGCGAGAGCGTCTACCGCTTCCTCCCGCGCACCATTCTCGGCGGCTACAAGTCCGCATGGCGCCTCGAAGTTACCCGTCTCACACGCGAGCGCGCCCCGGTCTGGGGCCCGCACAACGCTATGCTGCGCTACGCTGCTGGCCAGGCCGCCTTCGTAGTCGGTTTTTATACCCTTTTTGGCATCCCGGGCCTCCTGCTCTTCTTGTTTCAGGCCACCGTCGCTATCATATTACTCGAACAGATCAACGCCATCGAGCACTATGGCCTGGAGAGGAAGGCCGTCGCCGACGGATACGAGCGAGTAGGCCCCAAGCATAGCTGGGACGCCCCGCACCGCGTGTCCAGCTACCTCCTGTTCAAGCTGCAGGTCCACGCAGACCATCATTTGCGTACGTTTGCACAAGCCCCTTTTCCTCCCTGACCTTGCGCTCACACGAGGGAGAGAGAGCTACAAGAGAACTGACGACTTGGACTGCGTGTTTTTTTGTGCTTCTCGTGCCGCCGCGTTCGCAGACGCGTCAAGGAGATACCAGACGCTCGAGCTCACAGAGGGGAGCCCTATGCTGCCCGCGGGCTATCTGACCCTAGCCCCGATCCTGCTCGTGCCCCCGCTGTGGAGGGCCGTCATGGACCCCGTCCTCCTTGCGTACCGCGAGCGCTGGCGCGCCGAGGAGATCGCGCAGGCAAACGCCGCCAAGAAGGAGTGAAGCTGTGTCCCGTGTCTAACCGTTTTGCTTGCATAGATAAACAAACGTCCTCGAACCGTTTCGCTTACGATTCGCGAAGGGGGACATCACTTTGCAACTCACCCGCCCACTAGTTTTCGTTTCGTCGATGCCGACTGGGCAGGTTTCGTTTCGTCCGCCGCCCTCTTTAACCTCTCTCGTTCAATCCCGGCGACAACTTGCTCGACCGTTCCCTTGGCTCCCGTCCGCATTCCCGCCACTCCCCCCTCACCCTAACACACGCGCTCCTCTCCATGCCGCCATGCAGCCCTCCTGTCACGCTCTCCACCCGCGCGCCCCCTCGCTCTCGCTCTCTCTCCCCACCGCGCAATGTCTCCCCTGCCTCCTATCTCAAATCCGTTCCCCGACCCTCGTCCCGACTCTCCGCCGCGCCGCCGTTTCCCTTCTCCGCGCCCTCGCCTCCTCGCCCGACCAGCTCCTGCACCGCGCCCCGCACCTCGCCCCCGACATCCTCCTCGACCTTCTGCGCGCCCTCTCTACCCTCTCCGCCCGCCGCGACGACCATCTTGCCGTGGAACTCCGCGCACTCATCGCCCACCTCGCCGTCGCCTTCGACGCCGCCACGGCCCATCCTCCAGACCCGCATGACCAGCACGACCTCCGCCCCAAGTCCTACGCGCTCTTCGAGTTTGTCGCCGCAAATGCCATCGCTGCCGCAATCGGCGGCGGGCCAGATCCCAGCTTGCTGCACCAGCCCTCGTCTCGCCACCAAGTGTTGCTGCTTTCGGCCCTGCTGCACGCCGCGCGTGTCCACGCGCCACTGCGCCACGGCACCGTCTTTCATGCCCTTTCGGCCGCCGTGCAGGGGAGGGGAGTCCAGCTTGGACGCCGCATGCTGGAGATGCTCCCCGCTGCCGATGACATGTTCGCAGATGTTGCCGATGTCATGTGCTCCGTGCTCGCAGTGACAGATTGGCGCGACCTAGATTGTTGCGTCCTCATTGCGGCTGCCGTAAACGCTATGCCCCAGAGACGCATAGTCGAGGCAGAGAAGATGCTGCTTGATGTCGTTTGTGCGCTGTGGCAGAGGGCTGTAGACGCAAGTTGTAACATCGAAGAGATGACAGAGTTGGCGACAGTGCTGATGACGTGTGACCATTTTGTCGCCGTAATCAAAGGTGCCATCTTATCACAAGATCCTGACACCTCAGAGAAGGCGTCAAATATCGTACGTGCGATTTGTCTCCAAGGTCCCGACATTTCCGAACATCTGTGCACCTCGGGCGTCTTTGACTATATCGTGGAAAGCATTCGCGAGATCACATTGGACGATGGCAACCTCTCCACGGAGAAAAGGAGCAGGCTTTCGTACGCGATACACTCTGTCTCTGCCATCGTCGCACAAAATCCCAAATGCCTCCCTCCCAAGTGGTGCTACTGCTTGGATGTCATCATCTCGGCTTGCCAACATGTGTGTGAGGAGAACCTCGCCCATTTGATAACGGAGGTCATCGGTTGTGCATTCCACTCTGCTCCCGTTCAAGTGTTCACAGATGAGACAATTGACAAGTTTGTCGCGTTTGAAATGACCCTTTTCACGAAACTGTGTGACGAAACCTCAGAAGCCTACGGTAAGGATAAATACAATGGAACCAATGATTATTCAACGGCTAAGGATATCATTGCGACAGGAATCAAACATCTCACGAAGCTCTTTCACCGATACCAACCGAGTGTTGATGCCATGCATTCAGTGCTTAGGATCTGTGAGAGCTTTGCTCAATCTAGAGCACATGTCCCTTGCGTCTTTGATCTTTTGACACGGGTTGTGGGTCATTTTGGGGCGTTTTGTTTATCCCCCAATACTAAGCCATCAGCAGATATTTCAGCGATTCACCATCTCGGTCAAAGAATCCTCTTCATCATCTTTGACACATGGGCAGGTACACTGGAGACTACGTTACGTGAATTATCAGACCCGGTGTTGATGTTTGAATGCCTCGCTGACTTTCGCTCGTTTCTTGACATGCTCTCTACTGCTTTGAACCCTTTCTTTGTATTGTCTGGCTGTTGCTCCCTCCAGGATCGAGATGGCATGTCTTCATGGTGCTGGCAATATTTCCCGCCGAATCGAGTTTGGCATATATTTTCGGAGCTGGAAGGGCCCAAGTCGCAAAAGCGCGAAGGCACGAAAAGCATGAATCACGAGTGCCCAGTCTCATCGATGCAGATGTACCTATGGCGGATATCGAGCTCCAGAGACGTCCTTGATAGAAGTTTCTCAACCCATATCGACACGAGTGAGGAATCGTTTCTTCGCAGCCTTGCATGCGGGCAGCACACATCTGAAGACATTTCAATGATGATTCTGCAGCGTGCAATCCAGCTTCACGCAATTTCAGGCTTGAGTGCTCCAGATCTAGTCTCTTATGCCCTATGCACAAGGCTTCAAAGCCTCGTTGCGAAGAAACAAGAATCGATGTCATCAGGCATACTTGAATCTATGCGGGGGGTTGCATTCATATGCGTAGATTGTAACCTGAATTTTCGGTTGATGAACATTCCGTCCGAAGCTGTCATCCAAGCTATGGAATGTGAAGACTTCGACATCTCGACTCTTGGGGATATGAACATCTTTCGAGAGAACGCGCTACAAGCCAAGCGTGGTCCTGCAGATGTACTTGGTTGGGACAGACTTTCCACGTTTTATCACTCGCTCAATAGTCAGGATCATTCTCATACAGACGCCGTATGGACTATACTCTGTGAGAATGCACATGCCGTTGAGAGTCTCTGTTATGCCACAATGAACTCGAACTATCCACAGAATATAGCCAACTTTCTGCTCGACATGCTCGATGCTCGCGGCGTGGACAGCAATATTACCAAAGCATTCGATAAGGCGGGGGCCGCCAAAATTCTTTGCGGAGCACTGGAGCAGCTGCCAACTTTGCTTTCTAACACTTCCGCTGTGGTTAATACTGGAGTGGATGTAGATTCCATGAGAGAACGAGCGAGAGTAACGTGTTTTCTCCAGATTTTATCTGGAGTTGAGTTTTTTTCTGGCGCTCCCCCACCTTGGGCTCTCACAAGACATATCTGCGAGACTGTGCATTACGAGGCCGCACGAAAAGACAAAACATCTGAGACATTTGTTTTTCTATCAGCATTGTTGCGCGGCTTAATCGACTCGATAGCACTGTCCAGAGAGTCGAAGACAATCACATACTTACGTCAAAGCGGGATTTCTACGGAGTTGGTTCAACTCTTGAGGCTCTCCAAAGAAACAAGCTTGTTTCGAGATCAGACAACCTCCATGGCAGCTTGTCTTCTCGTTTTAATCCTTGAAGGTACATCCCATGGCAGTGGCGCCGCATCTCTCATCGCATCATTTGCGGATTTCTTGACTGATCTCAGTTGTTGGGAGGGGCTTCTCTGTTCATTCCCAATGACGGCAACTGGAGATAGATTTTGCAAAGTTACGAATTGCTGTTTTCTTCTCGATCGCATCTTGAAATCGTGTCACATCACCAAAGAAGGCCGTCATATTCTGTATTCGAGAAGGGTCATTATACCACTTACAAGGGCTGCGTCTTCCTCGGATGCCTTACTTGAAACAGCCTCAATTCAAGTCCTCACTACTATGATGGATATTGATTTCTCTAGCTTTTACGGCCACTCCACTCTCACGCTTTTTAGAATGGTGTGTGTGCGGAACTTGAAGAAGTTGTGCGCGGCGAAGCGTGAAGAGCTTTCTTGCACGGAATTTGAGTTTGGGCGAACATCTGTGACATGCGGATATGCCGACGGGATTCTGAGCGAACTGAAGAGCTCCCTGCAGAATATGTACCCCAGAAACGAAAAGGATGATGTCTCTACATCTAGTACAGTCATGATTCCAAGTGAAGTATCACTGTTAGTCCGTGAGATAAGCAACCGGCATGAACATGTGCAGCGCAACAATAACTGCGATTCTGTCAAATATTGCCCCGCTTCGGATTTCAGCAAGAACGCTGTGAGGGAAAGTTCGAGAGGCGAGGGAGAAAGCTTTCCGTTAGCTCGAACAGTTCAAGTACTTTCTGGAAGGTACTCTGTAGCTTTGACATTATCCAGTCCCAGCAAGAACATAACTTCGATCAGTTAAATCTGATCGTTAAACAAAGTGCACCAGCTTGCAGATTCGAGTGGTTTGTCGAAAGCTTATATTGTTCTGTCATTTCTTTATTTCACCCGCCGAGGGGCCGGTATTGGAGATGCATAATCGAGAGGAGTTGCTACTTTAAACGGAATCATTTTGTATGCAGACCTTGGAAATCTCGGAAATGAGCGAACAACCAATATCAGGTACTCACCAGAGCTTCACAAGTAAACAACAGCCCGCAGATTCCCATGCCATAGCACTCGGCACCACACACACGAGTTGTGCAAAGTGCCCAACTTTTTGGATGTTAGACTTGTAAGACCAGAATACAACTCATCATGAAAGACCTGGGAGTCGCGAGATATTGCCAGTTTTCATGAGTGTTCTGAGCTGCCTAATATTGCTGTTACTTTCGCCTCGGCAAACTTATCAAACCGCGCAGACATAAAGTCTTTCCCACATTCATTGCAGCACATACTTGAGTTGACAAAGGCCTTCACTAGAGTAAAGGAGGGTACAGAGTCCCATGACTCACAAAATCGCCGTCCACCCACCAGACCTCAGAGGCCTGTAGCCATGCTTGATCCCAGCCTCCAGCATTGCTGGACATTTGTTTCAGTATGTTTGTGGACAGCCAATCACCGCTGCACCATACCCCCTGCACCCTGGTCCTTTAATGGCCCTTCAATGGCCCTTCCATGCCCTCGAAATGCCGCCCAACGCAGAATGCAAATGGCCCCCGTTTCTTCTCTCTAGTGTCTACTAGTCACGGGGTCCGATGCCCCGCTTCCAGCTTTACTCGTCTTCGGCTCTATCTATGTATATGTCTCGGACAGCCGGGAGCAAGAGATGGCACGGCCGCGAAGAATGATCGCCGAAA